TATGTCCATACATATGTAACATTTTTTTCCGGGTTTATTTTATTAATGTACATACTTTTACACACAACTACCTAGTGTCGGTTTGTGAGTTATTCTTTTAATTTGTAAATAATCACTACACAATGATTATGTTTCCACATAATAATAACAAACTTAATAAAAATTATTAACTTTTATTTATTTTTAAATTAAAATAGTCAAAATATTAAGTAATTTATAGTTTTATGAAATATTAATGCGGATTTTGCTTTGCTATTGCATAATCGATTTATTATTTATTTACATCACAGGTTACTGATAACAATCAAAGAGCAATAATATTGAAAATCATTTATTTTACATCAAAATAATTACGTTTGTTTTATGTTTTCGCTTTGGTTTATACTTCCGCGGGAAATATTTTAGCGCAAAGATTATTAATGTTATTACAAACTATTGTATTATATATTTTATCGAATTGATCTTATTTCTAATTGATAAATTGCTGCGTTAACAGTTTTGTAAGTTTTTAACTTTATAAATTAAATTGCTGTTATATAAAAACGTATCTATATCAAACATAATTTTTTCAGAAAAAAAAGTATTTGCTCCTGCTCCACATTTGTAGAACTCATTTGGTTCTCTTTTACAATAATACATTGATTGCAGATGCTGTATACAAATCTAGTATAATATAATGTCTAGTCAAAGTCAGATTTTTCTATTTGTGATTGTGAGGTAGCAAAAGAGATTAACGAAAAGTGATAGATCTTCCTCTGAAAAGATTCACTGGCATAAGATCTATTCTCATACATATGAAATATTGCTCATGGATATTAAATGTTTCGGGTGAATATCAAAGTTGACTGTGCAAACAATTTATAATGCAAACAATTCAGCAGCCTTCGTAACTATACATACATCCGATACATACATATGATACTTACAATGAAATGTGTCTCTTCGTATATAAGTTATAAAAATTTCTGCGTCATGTATATCGCTATATGCGATGCATTGAAAAATTATGAACTTCAGTAATAAATGGATATCAATGATTATATTTGTTTGTCGATTTGATGAAACTAATAAGAAGACATAGAAAATCGCGGATCGCACGCGTAAAGATTATTTCTTTAAATATGTGTGATAATTATAATTATCACACAGTAAAAAAAATATTATATATATATATATATATTTATATAT